TGCTATGGTCTAGTAACCATGGTAGGGCTGCACTTGATGATCTTTGAGGACTTTTCCAACCCAACTGATTCTATGATTCACCCTTCTCCCACCACCCCATCACCCAGCAGCAGCTCCAGGCTGGGGAAGCAGCTCCAAGGGCAGCTCAGGGCATTTATTCACCACGCTGGAACATAAAAATAACATCTTTAATAGCTTCCTAGTTGGCACAGATGGTATTAAAATTCACCACTTTTTATTAATGGACTATGGAACCACACATGGTGCAGCACGAGGAGGGCACGAGGCTCCGACCACACGTGGCTTCTAAACCACTACGACAGGTGTTGGAGTTGACTCTTTGTTTACATTCAGTGTTTATAGAGTGAAACCAACAGCGAGATTTAACCACACACACACACAGAGCAAAGCCTGGGGAGGATGTTTCTGCTGGCAGCTGAGGTCTCCTCCTCTTAGCAGCCACAAAAGCCCCAAAATTAGCTGTAACACAGGTTATGAGACTGGACAACAGCGCAGGACAATGCGGGAGCTTCTGCTCACACCTGACTGAAAGTTACTGCAGTGACAGTCCCATTTCCCTCTTCCAGGAGCAGGGAGGGCTGGACCAGCACTTAGGATGTTAAGACACAGCCTAGAAGCCGTCAGTGGTCAAAGGATGTTTTTTTCAGGAGCCCAGAATGCAGTGAGACAGTAACACTTCCCTTTCTGAAGGACTTTTCCCAAGGAAACCTCCCTGCTGCCCCTGAGCTGTTATCCTCACACAGGTGTAGAGGGGATGGCACAGGCACCAAACCATGAGGGACTCACCTTGGAAAGCAACAGCAAGCTGGTGGCAGGGCAGAGGCGTGGCAGAAGGGCCTCATTCTGACCAAGAAACAGCACCAAAACTACTAGGCAGGATGAAAATAATTCCCAACACTCGAGAGGAGGGGGGAAAGGGAAGGGGGAAAAGCATCCCAGATCTGGGCAGACATGGAGCCATGGGAAAAGTTAGTGTCAGCCTGAAAAGGACAAAGAGACACTCCCACACTGTGGTGTGCAGCCAAAACATCACACCATGAACCCACAGTGGCTGCTGAGCTCCTCACAATCCTGTGGGTCTGTCACTCGTCCTGTTGCCACGGCCTTGGCCTCTCCAGTGTCACAGCATGTCCCTATCCCAGCTCCTATGCAACCACCTCACGTGCAGACCTTGGATTTGGGGAAACATTTATAGGTTTTTGGCAAGATTATGAATTGTTTAATGAAGAATTTATCCTCAGTGGAAGCAATCACCAGCACTGCTGCAGGTCCACCCACCCAGCTCCAGCCTGACAAACACTGGTTTGTCCAACTTCACTTCCCAATCACCTCTGTCCTCGATGACTCTGAGAAGACAACAGCCACCTTCCACCCTCAATTTCCTTATCATTTGTTGGTTTCAAAATTTCCAGTTCCTAGGGGTACTCTATGATCACGATGATGATGAGGCGTTTCTGGGCTCTGTTCCAAGGAATTTCCTCTCCCCACCAGGATCAGGTGCCGACATGGAGGCAGGTCAAATGCATAGAGAGGTCTCCCAGCAGCTCTCCTCTGGTGAGGCCACTTGTTCTCCACCTAGTGCCCCTGCACTGCCTCAGCCTCTGTCTGCCCTTTATTCCCAGCAGGGGCCTTGCCCCCAGCAGCTTTGTTGGAATAATCCCTCTCTCCAAAAATAGTGCTCCCAATCCTGACGTTTGTGGATCCAACCTCTATCTGGAAAAGACAGAGAGGAGGAGGTCAGGGCAGGGCTGCCACCACCCCTGTGATCAGCCCTGACTCTCACCATGTCACAGAAGGATGTTTCCCCCCACACTCACCACCCACAGCTACACCCAGGGTCTGGCTTGATCCCTGGAACTCTGTCCCAGGACCAGGAGAGCTGTTCTTCAGGGAACAGCACTAAGTGGCCTGTTTGGGTGATGCCTGGGCTGGAGTCTGGGGTTGCAGGTGTGCTGGTTTCCCAAGGGAAGGGGTGGCAGAAGGAGCCAGACTTACTGCATGCTGGAAGTCCGTGGACATGCCCATGCTCAGCTCCACCTTCTCCACAGGGAGGTTCAGCTTCTCACACACCTCCTGCCGCAGAGAGAGCAGCATCTGGGAAGAAGGAAGAAAGAGAGATACTGATACTGGTACTGAGGGCTCTGAACTACTCTGCACAAGGTGTTTCTAGAGTCTCACAGCCTGGCTCGTGCTGGTCTGACTGGCACAGACCTGCCAACGGTGACATTTTCTCCTAGGAAATCTTACCTGGAAGTCAGGATTTGGGCCCTTGCTGAGGTCATGCCCAATGCTGCCAATTGTCATCAGCCCCACGAATTCCAGGCTGGGGCACTTGTTGATGACATGTTCCACAGCAGCTGCAGTGTCTCCAGGGGAAAGACCATGCTTACCTGGAGAAAACAGGGAGATGTGTGCCCAGCTGAGCCAGAGAAAGGCTTGGAGAGCACAACCAGCCCAACCTCTCAGGTTTTGTGCCAAGTCAGCAGGACAAACCCCCACACAGCAGAAAGAGACACTTACTGTCCTCCCCACTCGTGTTAACCTGCACCATGACCTTCAGCTTCTGGGATGATCCTTTCTTCTGCCACAAGCTGTTGACTCTGTCTGCCAGTTTCACAGAATCCACAGTTTCCAGCATGAACAGGTTTGGGACAGCTGGGGAGAAAACACAGGCTGAGGGAATCCTGTTGGCACAGGAGTGTTTGTACCTACCACAGTGGTGAGTTCATGGTTACCTCACAGAATATCCTGAGCTGGAAGGACCCACAAGGATCATCAGTCCAACACCAAAACAATCCACCCTGTGCCCGAGAGCATTGGCCAAACACTCCTGGAGCTCTGTCAGGCTTGGGGCTGTGACCACTGCCCTGGGAGCTGTTCAGTGCCCAAACACCTCTGGGGGAAGAACCTTGTCCTGATATCCAACCTAACCCTGTTCCAGTGCCCGAACACCTCTGGAGGAAGAACCTTTTCCTGATACCCAACCTAACCCTCCCCTGACACATTTCAACACTGGAAGACTATTGCCCACATAGAATCAAACAGGATTTACCAATCAGCTTGTTGACATTGTTTTTCTGCAGGTGGCCAATAAAATGCCACTTGATGTCTGGACAAGATGACAGAATCTGAAAGCAGAGAGAACACTCAGGTTGGAAGGATAATTCCCTCTTCCCCCATGCAGCACTTCAGTCTCAGTTTGCTCACAACCACCAGACACTCAGTTTGTTCATTTGTTGACCCTGCAGGACTCAGCTCGTGGTTGTGGGGAGGGATGGGCTGAAGGGAATGTTCATGGGGGAAGGCGAAGCTCTTTTGCAACTGAACAGTCATTAAATGATATTTCCCCACACTGAGTGTGAACATTTAATTTAAACAAAGACTGTGCATCTCCTACAGAGAGCACAAAAGGCACAGCTCAGAGACATCATGACTCACAGGCTCCTCTGGAGCCAGCAGGGCAGGAGGGGGCAGAGCCAGTGAGCTGAGAACAACCTTAGCATTTATCTACAAAGATCCAACCAAAGCCCTAACACAAACCTTTGGCTGAACAGCTCTCAGGACACAGCCACACAGTGAAAGAAAACATGAAGGGAACTGTGTGTACTTACTCTGGAGTCTGATGCCTTTTCCAGCAGCTCCTGGACCTGGGAGGAAGCAGAATCTTGTTAAACCCAGATGTAAGGGTGGTGTCTGTGGGATGTATCCTGGGGTGCTGCTGTCACCACGCCTGGAGCCACCCCAGCTGGGCTGCCCAGTGCCTGCCCCGTGACATCAGGAGGAATTTCTCCATGGAAAGGGCTGTCAGGCACTGGAAGTTGCTGCCCAAGGAGGTGGTGGAGTCACCATCCCTGGAGGTGTTCAGGGAATGACTTAGTGCTTTGCTCTAGTTCACAAGGTGGTGATGGGTCACAGGTTGGACTCGATGGGCTTGGAGATCTTTTCCAACCTGACTCATTCTGGGACTCTGTGCCCTTAGCATGGGGCCCTTGCCCAGCCCTGTGGGCCCTTTCC